TGGGGACCAGGTGCCGTCATGACATGTTCACAGTTGGTGAACTAGGGTCGTGACAGGCTTCAACTAAGGCATCACGACGGGAGTTCAGAAAAGCCCAGCTTACATCAACTGCAACCTTATCTTCAAGAAGCTCATAATCTCTTTCCCAAGCAGCAATTTCATTTTTGAGACCTTCATTTTCATTCAGGGCTGAGTTATAAGAGGCTTGGAGAGAGGCATGAGATTTTTCTAAGGCCTTCACCTGGTCTTCAGAAGTTCGCAGATTTTCTTGGGTCTGAGTCAAATTCTGTATCGAATCTCCAGCATAAACTTCTTTTTGACTTAAAAGAGCTCTCAGCTCTCTAATCTCTTCATTTGATTTAGATAATTGTTCTGAGAAAGAAGACTCGAGACGCTCTCTTTCTTTCTCGGCCTGACTTGAAGAAGCCTTGACAACCGCAAGCTCTGAAGTTAATGCTCTCACCTGTTGTTCTAGGTTATTCTTGCTCTCTTGTAAATCTTCTATTGTTATTTGAGCACTATCAAATTGGTCCTTCCAATTAGATGCTTCCAACTGAAAGTCACGAGCTTCCCTCTCTGAATCAAGAACAGCCTTTTCAGAGTCATGTGCTACCTTCTCTAATAAAGAAATTCTGCTCATCACCTCTGTACCAATAAGGTTGGCCTGAAAATGATAAGGGAAGAAAAATTAGAATTCTAGAAAAATTCTGGCAAAATTAAAGAAAGAAGGGGCATACCTTCAAGGTGGAATGAACTATGTCGTTCATTAGAGTCAGGCAGCTATGGCTATTCATTTTTTCTTTCTCAATTGGGCCTATTAAAGGTTCAAGCCAAACATCAAAAGGCTGACCGGATTTCCTCAAAAGGCTGTTGTTAGCAGGCACTTCGATAGTCACGCTCCTCATAGCAATCCTTTTACTTGTAGAACCCGCTTCTACATTGTGGACAGTAGAAGGAGGAGCGGTAGAAGAAGTAAAAACAGCAGTGGGAGGTACGGAAGAAGTTGGAGCAGATAAGGAAGGAACCAAAGGTACGACAGGAGCAGATAAGGAAGGAACCAAAGGCACGACAGGAGCAGATAAGGAAGGAACCAAAGGCACAACAGAAGAAGGAAGGGAAGGAATTGAAGATATGGGAGTTGAAGAGGAAGATAGGGGAGGTTCATCCAAAACGGGTCCTAACTCGCCACTCTCAAAACCACTAACGAAAAGCTGGTTAATCAACTCATGGGTATCATGAGGGGTGGCAACATCATCATCAGAGACGAGATTAACAGGCCCGGTAGGAGAAAGATGATGAGAAACTTCAGCTTCGTCAGAGACGATACGTCTCCGAACTCTTGGCCTTCTCACCAAGGAACCATCCCCCTCTTCTTCGTCGGAGCTATCATCGTCTGTGGTTTTTCTTTTCAGAAGAATATCCTGAGCACTTTCTAAGGAAAGTTGGGTTCCTAAATGAGAAGCCGCAACTGTTTCAGCAGTAACACCTCGAATAGCAAAACCTGACAAAGAGAAAATTGAAATTTAAGGCAATAAAGGGAAAATTTTTACATATGAGAAAAACAAAAACTCATATCGTGAGTCTTTACTTTCCAACCATGACGATTGGAAATAAATTTCCAGGACCTAGCCTCCATAGGAGCGATCTTCAACAATTTATCTACCCAACCACGAAAATTGGGAATGTTCTCCACAACTCCCATGGTTGCTAAAAAAAAGAAGAGGGAAACGAAGTTAAAGAAATTTGTAAATTGAAAGAAAGAGGTACGGGAAAGATGAGAGACTTACGTGCAAAGTTCCACTTCTCAGGGAAGGGAACGTTTTGTTCACCCACTAAACCAACTGTGGAGGCAGCAACAAATCGGGCATACCAGCCACGATCCTTATCATCTTCTAGGCTCACCAAAACCCTCTTACTCCTAGCCACTAAGGTAAAGACGCCATTACGAAAAAGTCTAAGGGAGTATAGATTAATTAGGTGGGAGAAGGTGAAATCAACGTTTGCCAAATTGGCCAGATGCCGTAAACAAGCAACAACCCTCCATACAAGCGGGCCAATCTGTGCTACACAAACTTTGAAGAAACGACAGAAATCGAGAATTACTGGGTCGATAGCTGGTTTAAACCCAAGAGTAAAAGGGTATGTGTATACGAAAGAGAGTCCAGTCATATATGAAGTAATCCTCTGATTTGGATTGGGGATTACAATGGGAAAATCGTTAGACAATCTTTGCGAACTATGGGAGCTAAAATCTCTGTAATCATAATAGGGTAAGCATCAGCACGATCTAAACCAGAAATTTGGGTCTGAAGTGATTGTCTATCGTGCTGAAAAGATAAATCGTTAGGGACTATTTCTTCTACCAAGGGTTCCTGTAATGGTTCAGAGGCCTCCTTGCTCTTAGAAGATGATTTTGAGTAAAAGAACCTCTAGTTCTAGAGGAAGAACCAGGGCTAGGAGAAAGCATAGCAGAACCACCACCACGAGAGGATCCTAAGCTATGAAGTCTCCCACCCCTTCTATGTCTAACATGGGCATTGGGAAAATTATCTAAAATAGGAACTCTCTTAGGGTTAGGGTTCGAAGAAGACATGATGAGGAAGAAAAAGAAGTAAACAGAGATTCGCACAATTCAAGTGTTCGAGGAAAAAGTTTTATGTGGTAAAAGGTGAAAGGAAAAATTGAATTTATACTGATGGGCGACCGTCAAAAGTAAAAACGCAATAATGGAAGGATCACAATAATGGTAACTGATACTTCATGAACAGTGGAGCCGAAAAGACAGCTTGAAAAAGTGTTGTAAATTGTGGAACCAATAAGAAGATGACACGTGTCTGAAGCATTAAATGGAAGTGATAATTGAAGCGTCAACTCTGTCAGAACATTAGTGGTGACAAAAATTCTCCTTTAATGAATTCCACTTCCCAAATATTCAAACTGACGAATAAATGGAAAGTGGGGGGGCTATCTGTATTGGGAAAAATTGTATTTATATATATATATATATGGTGACGTGTCATGACACGTAGATTGGACAAACAGTCAAAGAATTAAGGTTGGTTAACAGACACGAGCAACAACAGATACGAGCAGCAACAGATACGAGCAAGTTAAATGAAGAAGGCACGAGCAGTCATACAAGTAATTCAACGCTCGTACCTATTCAAGACATTCAAAGGTCAAAGATCGAGAAGAGTCAAAGGAATGAATCTGACAGCAAAAAAGAGCCCAGATACAACATTTAATGAGTATTAAATACTAGAAATGTTAGAGAATATGTATTTAATGTATATGATTGCATAACGTAACATTTAAGGTCATTAATTACCCATAATTGTCTTATTATGACAAAGGTAAAGTCTGTATTCCCAAAACGGATATAAAAGGGAAAGTCACAAACAACTGTAAGGACACGAAGAAAACACTACTGGAATATACTTTGATTTATTTGCTTTCTGATTATATTATTCACAAATCTCTTTCCTATATACTTTTTTCCGATTATCAGTAACCCGAGTTCTTCTAAATTCAAGCTTTGACCTAAAATCTAATTTTTGGTTAAATAAATATATCCTTGCACAGGTAGAATTTGGACTAAAGTTAATTGATTTAGCCGAACCGATACATAATCTTCTAGCGTGCCACGTTATGAACATTATCCTGATACGGACGAGAGGGGATGCATGGGAATAACATTATTTCAAATAAGATAATCACACCCGATTTAGATTTGACTTTCGTCTGTGTTAACGTTTGATTTATATTTCCTTTAGGTTAATGTTGTGAGATTATAAATAAATTATTGAAAACGTTTATTGTTTAGACGGTGTTTTCATTTGTTTCTTACTCTTAATATTCTGAAGCTTCGGTTATTGTTAATGTAACAAAAAAGAAAGAAGTGGAGCCATTGTGTTTAAGGTTAGGTTACATACTGCATCAAAGTCTGTAAAAGGTTACAACTTATAAGTCATTATCACTCTTTTCTTTTTCTTTAACCATCATCTTGCCAGAATGTGAAGGCCAATTTTATTTTGCCTTTTCCACAACCTAAATAGTTAATTTTTACTGTAAATACCATTATATTTTTCCGATATTATTTCTCTTTCAACCCATTTTATATTGGACTTTTATTATAAGGTACTAGAGTGAAACTATTATTTCTTAACTACAATTTTCTCAATCATTCGACCAATTTTTTTTGTACTAAAATATTATAACTTGTAGTACTTTTTGTGTAGTTACTCAAATATCATAAAATTGGATTTCAACTTCGCTTAGAAAATCTATAGGTAAAATTTTGATTTTCCTAGCTTTTGTTTTTTCTCCCCTACTATTTTCTTTCTAATTTAGACATGATATATTGTGTTTGCAAAAAAAAAAAAAATAGTTATAGTTACAAGAATGATAGTAGAGTATTAGTTATTACACTAGTATATAGACTCTTTTTCAATATTTTCGAAATATACGTAGGATTCAATTGGTTCATTTTTATACTTTAAATAGTTAGTACTATTTTTCTTTCATTTATAAATAAAAAAATTACTTCAAAATACATCCTGAAGATTCAAAAAAAAAAAAATCTAAAATAAAACATTATTACTATGTGAAGTGTCAATAAAGTTTTCTTTCATTTATAAAATTTAATATACTTTTAATTTAAACTTAACCGATAATAAATTTTATAATTATCTTAAAAAAGATTAAGATATCAATCATTGAATTCAAGAAAATTATCGGCCTTTCTGCTCTAAACTTTATCATTTGACGAAGCAAAATGGAGTAATAAATTTTTCTTAAGAATAGCGTGAAGACACACGTGATAGCGTGAAGACGGTTGGCAATTTCTTTTGTTTTTGTGTGTAAAGTATCAAATGAAAAATGAAGTCCAATGCAACCAACGGAAGTGCCAAAGGCCGCTTTTCTCGTTTTCTTCCTCTTCTTCTGAGGAAAAAGAAAAAACATCATAACCTCTCC